ATATGTAGAATATGAATATTTTTACCTTGGACAATTTTTCTGATGAGCAGAATGCAAGAATAGATATTTGGGAAAATTTCACAATCAAAGAGTGCAGGATATATTTAGGAAAATATTAACAAATTGTAAGAATAAAATGCTAAATAAAAATATGAAATTATGTTTCATTCATTTCCAAGGACACGCTGTTTTGAATCCTTTAAAATGAATAATTAATGATCCATTTGCAATTGAAATTGAAGTTAATTGACTTTTTCATTTATTGTTAGTATATCAAGTTTAATTTTTTTTTTAACTTTTACAAAATAATGTATTACCATAAAACAATCGTATGCGCATTTTCCATTTTATTATTCCATTATATTATAGTTATTCGCTTAAAATATCTCTGTCGAGCTAAAATGTCCACCTTATTTGAACTTATTCTAAGATACTTATGGAAAGTTACGTACAACGAATTAGAAATATTCTCAAACATACATCTTTCGATATATTCATACAGTAAAACGTATGTATCGTTCCCTTCAAACTAATTCTCGAACAAACGGACAAAGGAGTACAAGTCGAAATTGTTAGTTTTACAGGAAAACGTTTAAACTCAAAGTACAACGTAACGTCATCAACTAGATTTTGAACGACATCTAAAGCTTTTCAGAATGACATTTTCGTCAAAATTTAACTCGACCAGAGAATTCTTTTCAGTCAAGGCGATGACACCGAACGATTTCTTGTTCGCTCTTCGCCCGCTTCAAGTGATTCGATTTGCGGGAACAACTTTCAGTTGTTTTTCTAGCTTTGCCAGTTTCTTAACACCGATTGCAAGGGGAACCGAAGAACGAAAGACCGAGTGCAAAACAACGTCTGCACGCGGATTTCATCGGCGGTGGAAATTGGCAGGCGGCGAAGGATGTCGAAGATCGGCTCGGGCCTTATTTTGCTGGTTCGGCCGATCTCGTTGGGTCGGCTGTTGACACGTAACGCCGTCCCGGCGCGCGTTCACCACTCAACTGGCCGGCATGATAAAAGTCCGTTCTTATTCCGGCTGATCAGTTGCTGTTCTGAACGTGGCAGGCGAACGAGCGTGCTCCTATCTTCCAACAATACAGTAAATACGCTGGCTTCTCGTCAGTTTCTGTTCAGCAGGTACTGTTGCAACAACAAAGTAGACGACGACGAGAAAATGTCTGCGGCGACGAAGAGAGAACCAGCTGCTGAGCAGTTGACTGAATATAAGAAACACTCAAAGGTAAAAATCACAATCGTGTACGGTCGGATAATAAACGAATGTAGCTAGACTGCGGAACTTTGTATAATGTATATGTTTACATATGTATAATATTATACGTAGTATACGATACATATGAAATTATATGTAACATAATTATATGTACATTAAAAAAAAAAAACAAATTATATGTACTTGAGTACATTAAAATTATATGTACTCAAGTATAAGGGAATATCGAGTATTGGAAAGACCGAGCACTGACTATATAATTCACTTGGATATTTATAGATTTCGGAATATTACGTGTTATACAAATTACTTCGGCTTTAAGTTTCTCGTGAATGCATAAAAACCTGCAGTCTAGATATAACGATGTTGTAAAATGAAGCACATTTACTGTATTGACAACCTCCGTGTGAGGAACTTTTAGAGTAGAAAGTACGCTTTATGTCTGTTCTCCTCTGGCTTGACATTGAGAATCACTGTATCAAATAATATTGTCGTGAGTTATTTAAATATAGTTTAGAAAGTAGTGATTTAGTTGAGTTGAGTGTTGAATTATTTGAGTATAGTTTAGAAGTTAGTGTACATGGAGCATATGATTTTTTAAATATTTACATTTTGTCCACCTGTTTTTTTTTTTTTTTTGGTTGTTGCCACATTACTCGACCGGTACAACAGACTTCGATCAATATGATGGATCCGAAGAACGCATGAAGCGTTTCTCAGTTTGACAAAGTGTAAATAGATTTAAATATAGATTTCCATTTATTTTGTTGCAATGACGATCGATGGATAAGTCAGATGCAATATTTAATGAGATGCAAGTATGATAAAGGCGGGTAGTTTGAAATTCGATAGGATATATAATAAAATTTCCATCAGAGACATTAAAATGAAAAAAGCAGATGAACTTTACAATTGAGTACGCAGATTTTATGAAAAATCATTTATATTTTTAAAAATATACACTGTTTCATATTTGTAAAATTCCTGAAAATTATAAATTATTCATTTTGACCGATAGTTCTAGTGTTAAAGCTGAAATTTTTTTAAAGATTTCAACATAAAGTGATGCGTTGTGTTGCAACAATGTCAGTAAAAAAATAATGATAATGACGGGAAAATTCGAGTTCAAAGGTTACCTTTTTTAAAGAACCAAGCTGACAATATTTGTCATACTATAATATTAATACATACTATGATAATTATTATAAATCAAATATTATAAAGTTATAATCAAATATAGTTATTCACAAGGCAATTTAGTTACTGTTTTAAAGATATTTTCTGCAGATCATTGTTGATTACTGTACGAAATCATTTTCAACGTGTAATCATAAATATCTCTAATTATTGCTTGAGTTCGATCGTAAAAATATTTGCCGGTTATCAAGCGTTTAATAGATTAATGATAAATGAGGAGTGAAAAAAAGTGAAAATAATATGAGCAATATAATATATACAATGATAAGATTTATGTATATTCTAGTAAATTTCATTCATAAATTTCTACATCAAAGCGATATAGAAACGAATATTATTTTCTTATCGTCCACACATTATAAACATTCGAGTATATAAAAATTGACTAGAAAATTGAATGTTAAATTTCATTTGACGGGCATAATTGATAATAATCAATTCGTATACAATTTTCCGATAATGAATTTTGATTTGCGATGAAATAAGTAATTCCTGCTTTCTGTTTATACTAATGTCAGTATTATCGATTTCCCTTGATGATTTTCATCGACAGATAATTTTCGTTTCTTATCACGTTCAGTAGATCAAAGTTTGCGTGAAATATTCATGGAAAACAATGTAAAAAAAGAAAGAAGGAACGACGCATATAATACGAATGTCACCTTTGAATGAATAATTTTTCATAGCTTCGATTGAAGCGTAGATTCCGAAAGTCAATTTAACACGAAATGAATTCCGAACGATAAGAAGGAATATTTTCCTGAGAGACTTAAGTTACACAATCAAGTACTTTTCTATTCAAAAGAACCAAGATAATGACACGTTGATATAATCATTGAATAGCGATATTTAACCACAGATTTGTAATAGGCTCAACTTTTTCGAGATCGAATTCTTTGTTTAACTTATGAGGAAAATTGATAAATAGGAACACGTGTTTTCGATTTTTTTTTTTTTT